GCTGGTCAGATGCGATGCTATCTCCCGGTCTGTTCCGGACTGTGGTATTGCCTGATTCGACCGCGAGCGATCAGACAATGGAGCTCGTTAACCTAGACAATAAATCAAGACATTTTGAAAAAATCGGTATATTGGGTAAAACGATAACGTGGTATGTAAGTTGGTAGGAAGTTTGAAAATTTGATGGAATGCGCATCTTCCGGAGGAGGAGGAGGAGGCTTAAAATTCGTAAGGTGGTGAACCAAGTCTCACACGGCCGGACATGTAAGCAGCGTTCTCCACATACGTTCCTCTCACATTCCGGGCATCAAAGATTCAATCAAGGAAAGGATCATCGAAGACCAAGCTCTGATGGGTTCTGGTGTCTTGCAGAACTTCATAGCTTCAGTCCTTGCATGCGAGGGCTCGCAAAAATTCCACGAAGCTAACAAGGCAGTCAACGAACTGTGCCTGTCATTCCAGTGAGTCCTGAAAGAAAAATAAAAGTTCAAAAATGCAGTCCGTCTGAATTAATAATGGCCGGTCCCAGGCCGACTAACCGCTCTTTTATGGTAACAACCACAAAGGTAAGAAGACCTGATCCCTAAAACTTGTTTTCGTGTATTTCAATATATCGATACTTTTCCCCAATTACTGAGAAGCCCAGTGGCAGTCGAAGACGCTGTCAAAAACTGGCCCTGGAATTTCTGTCCAAGACCGAGCCAGATCCACCGATTGTCCGCGAATGAGAGACCAAAATGCCACAAATCCAACGCAGTTGCATTCCAGTAGCGTTCAACCCGAGGCACGCGAATATCAAATACGTCACATCACTCACGTGGCGTCCGGCATTCAAGATCCAGCAAAGAATTCGAATTACTTAGTGGCGGGCGGGCCAAGATCGCTCCTCAAGCCGCCCGCTCTGCATGAACCTGCGGCTCCCTGGCGACATGCTTCTCTGGCCGTTGCATTGATATCGCATACGAGCAAAAGACTTCTGATCATCCGGGACAGTTACCTTTACGAATTTCACGCGCGTTCGTATCCCGGGATGCTTTGCCGGATTTATTACCGTAATTGATTACAGGCAGTGTCTGCCACGAGGTCAGGTAGGCCTAAATGAAAATTAGTGTTCGCTTGCGGACATTCCTCGAGCAGTTGAACATGACACATGCCATTCTGTCGGAAAGTTGGTGGCTTCTCACAGTTGAAACGGAGCCCGGCTACATTCCCGGTAACCCCACTTAAACGGAGGTACACGGTGCCGATGGCGACTTGGCGCCGGGCCGGTGCGCCTCCGGAAGTTCTGAGCGTGTTATTCGTCAGGTCAAACCTTCTCCAGGCCACAATCAATTGAAGTCTCAGAAATTTCTCGAGCAATCTCATATGTCAGGGTATACTCGTTTATTACAGACACTCGTCATTTCGGTTCTGATGCTGATAGCTATAAGGGTGATGATTACTCTTCAATAAGATCTCCCTATCAGATAGAGGATAAGGCAACGGCATTACAGATATCAAAGTTGTCCAACGAACATCTTAACCCTGTAAATACAACCTAGCCTCCCACGGCCTCAACACCTTATTGTCTCCCTCGGCAGCAACTCTATCTTTTACGTCGTCATAGTTTCCAACCCTGATCTTCAAATCCTCTCCCGGAATGTTGACCTCTTGCTCTTCGCTGGTAAAGTTCAACGCCACGACAGCAGCCCTTCCGTCTCTCGTCTTCTTGTATACAAAAGTCTTTTCGTTCTCCTCATCAAACAGCTCGAACGCGCCGTGCGTAAGCAGGTCTCCCTCCTCCTTGCGCAGCTTCAACATCGCTCTCCAAAAGTTCAGCACGGAGCCGGGCTCCTTCTCCTGCTTCGCGACGTTGATCTCGGGGTACAGCTCGTGGACCCGCATCCACGCGCCGTCCTTGTTGTCCGTGAAGCCCGCGTACGGCGAGTCGTCCCACTGCATCGGGATGCGCGCGTTGTCGCGGCCCATCTTATTGATGCTGTCCATGACGTACTCCAAGAACTTGCTGCCCTCGCCGTGCTCCCGCTTGATGTCGTTGTAGTAGTTCTGGCTCTCGATGTCCTTGTAGTCCTCGATCGGCCAGTCGCGCGGCACGTTGATCATGCCGATCTCCTGGCCCTGGTACACGAACAGCGTGCCCGTCATCGAGCACATCATCAGCGCCAGCATCTTGGCCGATAGCTCCCTCCACTCGGGCGCGTCGCTCGCGAACCGCGACACGGAGCGGCCCTGGTCGTGGTTCTCGCAGAAGGCCGTCGTCCACCCGTCGGTGCCCTCGATGAACTGCTGCCACTTGGCGACGATGTTCTTCATCTCCGGCAGCTTCCAGTCGACGCCCTGGTACTTGTAGCTCTTGCCCTGGCCGACGTCGACAATATCGAACTGGAAGACCATGTCGAGCTGCCTGTCGCCGGCGCTGACGTATCTGAGGACGTGCTGCGGGTCCGGGGTGTGCGGGAGCTCGCCGACGGTGACGGTGTCGTAGTGATTGAGCACCTTGTTGTTCATCTCGCGCAGGAACTCGTGTATCCTGGGGCCGTTGCAGTAGATCATGAAGGCCGGCTGCTCAAAGGCGTTCTTGTTGATGATGGGGGCGTCTCTGTACTCAACGCCCTTGCTGTACATGTTGACCGTGTCGATGCGGAAGCCATCAACGCCCTTGTCCAGCCAGAAGCGCATGGCGTTTTCATAGATGGCCTCGCGGGTCTCGGGGTTCTCCCAGTTCAGGTCGGGTTGCTCTTTGGCGAAGAGATGGAGGTAATATTCGCCCGTTCCCTCATCCCACTCCCAGGTGCTGCCGCTAAAGTGGCTTCGCCAGTTAGTTGGTGGCAGCCGCGTACCATCCTCAGCATAACGAGGAGGTCGCCAGATGTACCAGTCCCGCTTGGGATTATCTTTGGACGATCGGGACTCTTTAAACCACGCGTGCTCGTCAGAGGTATGGTTGACCACCAGATCCAAAATAAGCTTCATCCCCCTCTTATGGCACTCCTCGATCAAGACCTCCATATCGCGCACAGTGCCGTACGGACGGTGGACGTCCTGATAATCGGAAATATCGTAGCCCATATCGACCTGCGGACTGGCGTACATGGGCGACACCCATACCACATCGACACCTAGGTCCTTTAGATAGTCAACCTTGCTGATGATTCCCGGGACGTCTCCCAGTCCGTCTCCATTGGCGTCCTTGAAGCTGGCCGGGTAGATCTGATAGATGACGGCATCCTTCCACCAGGCCCTATCGGCCTTGCCGGTTGTGACCGAACCCATTTCGAACAATCAAGCTGCTGCTGCTGATGCGAATCGATTGAGGTATAAGACGGGAAAAAGATGACAAAATACAACGCGACAGCCAACAACGACAGAATGCTAGCTATCAGAACGGGGGACTGGGGGAAGAAAGCATGCGAGGAGCTATGTCACGGAGCTTGGTGGTCTTAAATAGCTGAAGTTCCCCATACCGGCCGCGCCAATCTGAACCATTAGCCCCCAAAGCTCCCCCGGTTCTGCAAGACACCACGCACACACAGAAGAGAGCGGGACACGAAACGTCGTAAGTGGGCTCGGAGCGGGATGATCGTCCACTCGATCGCAGGCTGGTGCATGCAAGCGCCGGATGCGGCAACCGCCTCACTGGACTAAAGGAACGCACGCTGCGTGGTTGTGTTGTGTTGTGTAAAGGTAGTGTAGGGGTGGTGGCGCCGGGTGGACGGTGCTTGGTGCGGTGTGCTGCCCACCGCAGGGCAAGGGCAGCAGCTGCAGCGCCCATCAACAAGCATGGAACCTACCCAAGGTGTGCTAAGAAGCCTGTCAGGGCCCGCGAGGGAGGAGGGACGGCCAATGGCAATTGGCTGTCCCGAGATCAATTCTCGCTGGAACGACGACAACCACCAATGGGCAGAGACGCGCCGGTGATGGGCGGGCAAACTCTCGCTGAATTGCAACTACACACACCAACCGCAGACTGCAGCAGACTGAGTGCGAACGCCTCCATCAACCTGTCTCAAAACCAGGCGTGACGTCTAAACATGCGGCGAACCTTGAGCCGAGCAAACCAGAAAGTGCTTGGGCTTGCCCCTCTGAGCAGTAGCGGCAACTGACGCCCCGTGATATCGATCCACTCCCCGCGCCGGGCGAGGGGTAGCAAGCATGCTGATGCTGGGGAGACGGGAACATGGAGAACCAAACCTCTGGTTCGTCCACGATACCCCCTCGTTGACGTCCATCACCAGCTCCGCTCTTGCGGAGTTTCTCCGACGACTTGCGCCAGTCCAGTAATATAGTGCTCATGACCAGACTCGACTCAAATCTGACGTCCTGCTCGTCGTCTGGCGTTGCGACGGTCGACGTCTCGTGCATCTGCACTTGCTCGCTCGAGTCCAACAGAGGAAGGATACGTGCATGGCGTATCACGAAAGCTTCGAGGTGCTCGGAAACCTTGTTGGAACCCCACCGGCAGGCATGCTGCCACGCTACTTACCGACCACGCTGCCACGCCAATGTCGCTTGATTTTGCCGCTTGAATTTCCCGCTTAAACCCGCTCCGACATATTCCAACGATCCGGAGCGCGGGGTTCATCGTTGAAGTCGGGTTCGGTCTTGCTGGCGCTTGGGCGAACCCCCGCGGGGGGAATGCCGCCGTTGTAGTCAGCTTTTACTGTGCAGTCACCAAAGCACACCAGTCAGTCTAGTCCGTCTGCTCGCTCTACGAAGCCTCCCCTCGCGACTCAGTTCAACAACGAGGCAAGGCCCCGTCGCCGGCCCGTGAAGGTTCGCATGCACATCCGTCGGCAAATCCCCCGAAACTGCTCGGTTTCTCGTGTCGGTAATTCATTGTCCCATTTTATGTAATTCCCATCCTATCATACCTATACTACACTCCGCCGAAATAGACGCAGACGCTTTTTTAAAATTCCGGCCACCTGATGGCTGCACTTGCGATTCCGTCTGCCCACCTCTGACATACCCAAATCCAGTCTTTGAGCCATTACCTGCCTCTACTCGTCGTCGTCGTCTGCCATGCTGGTGTCTGCTGCTGGACGCGCCTCGTCGTCAGAGTGGGCGTCGGCACCGTTCTTGGTCGGACCCTCATCTTCGTCTTCCTCGTCACTGTCAATGACTCTGCCTCTTCTCGACCGTGAAGCCTGCTGCCGCCTGCTGACACCAGCATCCTCATCGTCGTCTTCATCGTCGTTCTTGTTGTCCACATCCATCCGGTCATCCTCGTCGCCATTCTTGTCTCCAGCGTCGGATAACGGGGAGCTAGCCTTCTCAAGAGCCCTTTCTGCGCGCTCGAGGGGATCCTCATCGTCGTCGTCGTCGTCGTCGCTGTCCACGACGATTTCGGCGGACTTGTACTTGGTGTTGTTGACGGATTCCTTCTTTGTGAGACGGCGCTTCTTTTTCGTGGGACGTTCCTCTCCCGATTCGTCGCCATCAGTTTCCGCCCTCTTCTTGCGAGACCCCCTCTTTGGACGACTTTCGCCATCGCCTCTCGGCGCCGGCTTCTTCTTCCGCTTCACCTTCTCGCCCGTTTCCTCGTCTGTGGTCATCTCAGCCTCCTGGCGAGCCTTGTCCTCTTCGACGCGGCGCTCGGCAATCTCTCTGTCCCTTGCAGCAATCTCCTCTCTTTCCCTCTTGATCTTCTCTTGCTTTTCCCGCTCCTTCTCCAGAGCCTTCTGGCGCTCCTCTTCGCGCCGGCGAAGCTCCGCTTGGCGTTGTTCCAGTGCGGCTTGTAGCTTCTCCTTGTTCTTCTCCTCGTACTCCTTCTGGCTGGCGATGGCTCTCTCGAGTTGTTTGCGTTGCGTGTTGCGAGCCATGTTGGCACGCTGTTCGACGTCATGCTTGGGGTAGGGGGTCTGGGGGTGGCCAGCAATCTCGTCCAGTGCTGAGATGGCAGCCTCGAGCCCGGCTGCGGCGTCCTGAAGTTGCGCTACCGTGCGCTGGTTCTCACTCAACGCATAAACCATTGTCGCCATCTGGATCTGCACAAACGCAACGTTGAACTTGTAGTGGACTTGATCCGGAGCAGCTTCAAGAGCCTAGTTGTCACAGAATTAGCATCGTAGTCAGCAGAGCTTAGAAAGGGGTAGGTTACCTTCTTGGCATACTCGAGGGACTGTCGGTAAGCATCCAGATCGCGCTCGGAACGGCCCTTATTGAGCCAAGTGCGGCCTAGGCAAGCAAGAATGACGGGGTCGTTGGACTTGCCCTCCTTCGACAGGGCCATCTCGTAGTTTTCGATGGCCTTGGTCCATTGCCTCAGCTCAGCGTAGATGTGGCCCAAGTTGACGTAGACATGAGCATCCTTGATGGTGTCCCTGATCTTGACGACAATGCCAAGAGCCGTCTTGTAGTCCTTCTTGTCCTCCACCAATGCAATGGCAATACCTTGTGCTGCGTAGGCGTTTCTGGGATCCAGAGAGAGGGCCTTCTCGAAGAACTCAACCGCCTTGCTGTACGTTGCGCTCCGCTTGGCTCTGTCACTGTCCGACTCGCGGCGCATCTCTCGCGCCTGGATCAGATACAGGTTACCCATGCCGACCAGAGCGTATCGGTCGTGCTTATCATAGTTCTGCAGAGTGTGCTTGTAATGGCGGAACTCGTGGTCCTCGTTGATGTTGTGTGGCCGCTTGCGCGAGTGGACTTTACCCATGTACCAGCCGTACAGAGCGCGAACCTCGAGGTCTTGCGGGTTCTCTTGGTACAGCTTCGCGACGGCATCCGGGCCTTCCTTGTTAGGGTTTTTCCTGAGCTTAATATATGCCAGTCGTGTGCGAGCGTCGGTGTAATCATCATGGCGCTTGAGTAAGCCGTCGTAGACCTCAATGGCCTCATCGAGAAGACCACGAGACTCGTAGCTGCGGCCGAGGTTGAAGCTGATCGTAGTGACGAGAGCATCAGTGTCAATCTCTGAATCCTTCTCGCCGATCTTCATACAAGCGCCCAGGGCAGCCTCAAACATCTCACTTGCTTGCTCATGCCTCTCCGACTGGGAGTAGAAGCAACCGATGTTGTTGAGAAGTTGTGGCGGCAAGAACTTGCGCAGAGCAGCGCGCTTCTCAGCTTCATCTTCGATATCCTTCGGTTGCTCCTCCTCGGGAACCTGCTCGAGCTCAAGTTGCTCGACTTGGAGAAGACACTGCTGAGCCTTGTCCGGGTACTCGGTTTCATAAAGGCGAGCGAGATTGAGCAGAACCGCGGCATCGGGAGACATGCTCTTCTTGGAATCCTTCCAGGCACCGCGAACTCCTTCAAGCAGACCAATTGCTTTCTTCATCTCAGCCGATTTGTCTTCCTTCCCATCGGCGTCCTGGTTGGCAAAGACCTCTTCGGCGTACAGAGTTCCCAGCAATACCATGGCCTCGTGACTCTTGGACTGCTGAATTATCTTCTCCAAACGCAACTTTGCCTCGCCCAGATCGCCTCTCAACACGGCAAGCTGAGCAGCACCAAACTTGGCCGGCAAGTATCCACGCTCAGAACCTCCGCGAGCGTCGTCTGCCCGGCGATAGAAGTCACTTGCGCGGTCCGGGTCGCCCGTGTAGTGTTCCTTTCGTGCCAGCAGGTACCAGCCGTCGCTAGCAATGGCGTTGACATCCGTGTATTGAATCGCCTTGTGCGCGAGAGAGTCGACTGTAGGCAGCTGTTTGCGGGACAGGAAGTAACCAGCGAAGGTGGCGCATGTGAGGGGCATGTTCTTGTCGAGCTTGAAGGACTTTTGTGTGTATTCGGTCATGGCCTTCTTGTAGAGACGAAGAAACTCGGGACTGTTGGTGGGAATATGGCTACTGGCGTCGAGGTAGTAGAGACCGAGAAGGATGTTGCCGACCTTGTGATCGGGGTTGATCTCGAGAGATCGCTCCCACGCTAGCTTCGCGTCATCCTTGAAGCCAAGCTGCCAGAAGCAGCATCCAATGCCGATTCTCGGATCGGGGTCGACAAAGTCCGGCATCTTCTGCAGAACATCTTGGTAGCATGCCAAAGACTCGGGATATTTCCCAAGCGAGAAGAAAGTGCGCGCTTTTCCCATCATCGCCAACATATTCTTGCCTCCGGAAACTCGAATCGCGTCTTCGAAAGCCTTCAGTGCCGATCGCAGAAGGTCTGCCCTCTCGGAATCAACTTGGCCGTGCCCAGCCGTCTTCGGCGTCTGCAGCGATGCCTTGAGCAACTGGAGAACACCACGAGCGAGGAACAGAGGAGGGAACGCGGGGTTGATGCGCGATGCATCGTTGAGTGTCGAAGTCGCCAGCTGCAGGTAGTATTCTTTCGTCTTTGCCTCGGAGGCTAGCTCGCCATCGGGGGGCAGGCGCGGCGCCTCGCGACTCTTCCACAAGTACATCCAGCAGAGGCAAGAGATCATGCTAAGCTTCTCCTTAGGGCCGTTGTCGCGCATCGCGTTTCCACCACGAACCAGCATTTCGATGGCATGGTCGATCTTCTTCTGCTTGGCGTAGGCCAGCGAAACGGTCATCCAGTAGGTACGAGCGGCGCGCTCATTTTCGAAAAGGGTGCAGAGTTCGGTCGGGTCGTCGAATAGCTCGAGGAGATCGATTTCGACGGCCTCATCTTCGGCTTCGCCCTGAACAGGAACGTCGATGGCAGCCGGGATGTCAGAGAACCGTTTGCTGACTGGCGCACTCGTTGTGCCATTGACACCGTTCATCGCGCCGTTCCGGTGGGCTGACATTGTGGCGGATGAGAGGCTATGACATGCCTCGGATGGATATGGCGATGGGATGGGTTGACAAGAAAGCAGTAATTGAGAAATTCGGGGGAGCTGGGATGAGGCTGAGGAAAGGATCACTCAGTCGCGTTGGCCTTGCACAGGTGGGTCTGTAAAGACGCTAGTGGGGCTCTCCTGCATTCACCGAGCTGCTGCCAATGTGTGCTTTGATTGGCTGATGTACCTGAAGTAGACAGTACTTTTGAAGACCAGACTATTGCCCTGCGTCTCAGGTATCGAGGACCTAGCCAGCTCACTTACACACACCTACAAATACCTTGTATTTGGTCGTTCTTTCCCTTCCAGCATGAACAACGAAGAAAAACATGAAGGTGAAGCTTGAGTCTGATAAAATTACTAGTGAGGTTTTGATCTAAGTTTGGTTCATAGTCCAATTCACACGGAGGCTGCGGACAACTTTTTTCAATGGTGAAATGAATGTGCTTGAAATGGGAAGAGAGCAGTAAGGAACGACCATTACCTCCTTCCCCCAGACATTGCTCCCAGTCGAGGTCTTGGCCGTCTCTCGACTGTCTCTCTAATATCCCACTTCAAACCATACGCAGTCTCCTCCCACTCCTCTCAATCTCAAATCAGAACGCTTCCACACTCACCACCGATCCGACTTGAGATGTGAAGACTCCGTCATGCCAGCCATCTCTTCATCCGGGGCGAGACTCAACTCTTGGGTCCCCAGATCACATTTTGAAGATTCGAGTCGAATTTCCGCACGGCAAGCCGAGGAGCCGACCGGGCCACTGCCTCCCACATCGCCAGGTTCAGACACCACCTGCTTTGGATGGGGATGTCTTACAGAGGCTCAACAGGCCGGAATTATCGTCTGTATCGCCGTGGTCTTTGCAGTCTTAGCATTCTCTCTATGGTTCTTCCTCAAGTCGAAGAAAAAGAAGAAGGAATGGACGGATCAAGATTTCATTCTCGTCCGCAAGGCACGCCGCCGTCGGCGCAAAGTTGATAGCCGGGCCAGCTCCATCGTTACTCAGCCGTCGATTCCGTTCAGACATAACGGACTTTCTGTTATACAACAGCCACCGCCAATTATGATCACTCCCCCGACCTTCTTTCATATTCCGCCACCCCCTCCACCGCCCGTTCCGGTTTATGTACCGACGCCGATACCTCCGCCTCAACCTATGTACCCAGTGGTCTACCAGCCATATCTAAACCACGACGTGTCTATTCAAGGCGGCTATCAACACCTGTTCCCGCCTCAGAGAACTTATGCGGCTCCTGTCGCCCAAAACAGCCGTCAAGGACAACAAGTACCGCAGCCGCCTTCTCAGAACATGTGGTCAAACCAACCATGGACACATCCTCGAGGTGACTCGCGTCCACAAGAGGCGTCAAGTGGACGGCCGTCACTCGCCCGCAGGCTGTTCGGAATCTTCAGCACCCCGGTAGGCAGAGCCTCAACCATTGCGAGCTCAGACTCCAATTCTCTCCATGCGGTGTCTACAAGGGACAGCCATCAATCGAGATTGTCAATGACGTCCGTCACCACTCCCCCCTCACCAGAAACACGTAAAAAGCCCGAAGCCAGTCGCAGCACACAGAACGTTGCCTCTCCCTGCGGAGCTACTGTTGCCAGCGACGACCACGTCTTGTCCGCCGAGCGACCCGACGGCCCATCGCGCAAACCAGGAAAGAAGCAGGCCGCAACAATCAAGAAGGACTCAATCGAATCCAAGACCTCATTGAAGGTGCACACGACAACTGAGGAAACGAGGAATCGAAAGAAGGGAAAAGAGAAGGCGAAGCTTGACGTCGAACAAGACATCCCTGCCGGTCAAAGCCACCACAGCCCTCGCAAGATCAAGCCAATGAGAAGGTATGAAAAGAACCTCACGGAGGCGAAGATAGCAAAGCTAATTAGAGAAAGTGCTCTCAAAACGCGGGTCACAGCCATCCCGAGATCCAAGTTAGAGACCTCTCCGCGTATGACGGGTGCTCTAGGAAGCTCCAAGTTGGTGCCTTGACCTTCAACCCCTTACTATCTGCTGATAATTCCCTAGAGTTGACGACATACCTTCACACAACCGACCTGCGACATCTTCAATGGCTGTGGAAGGCGGGCAGTCCAAAAGCCCAGATTACGAGAGCTCATTTATCAGAATTGATGGGAAGGCTGGCACAACCACCAGACAGAGTGAAAATCACAAAGTCGCCAAACGCAAGAGTCAGATCGACAGGGATGGATCACCAAAGAAAGCTAGAAAGGATCCGATGGAGGTGACGCTTCGCACAGTTGAAATGGTTGGCCGGCTCTCGACGGGTGATCTCAGTTACCCCATACATGGAACTCGCGACAACCAAGTCACTCCTCAGCGAGACCCTCCGAAGATACAGGAGTACAGGTCTGGTTGACTTAAGCATTAGAGGTTGCTCCTAAACTTACAATTGAATGCAGCACGCCGTATCATGATGAATCGGATAGCGCTGAGGAATTCGACATCGACTCGCCGCCGCCTTCTCCGCCAAGGCCAGTTCATCAAGGCGGCGGTCGATACGCACCGGACCAGCTTCGCCGTGTAGCATAGACAAAGTTGGGTGAAATTGCTGAAACGAACACGACGTCGCTCTGAGATGACTAGCCATGGGAAGCAAGAGACATGGCAGAAATATGTTTTTGATACAAATCCATTTTGGCATGGATTTTTAATGATGGATGGAGTGGTCTCAGGAGTTTGAGGGTTGCTAGACAGGTCCACAGGATGGATGCTCAGATGATGGAGTCAGGTTACGGCGGCAGATGAACCGCAGGGGTGTGTTCAACCAAGCCAATACAAACAAAGATTCCCCTTGACAGTTGCATGTGTGCATTCATAATTCAGAGATGTGCTGAGATGTGCATATTCCAGAACAAAATAGCGGCACTGCGGGTTGCTAAAGCAGGGGTAAGTCAGGTAGTTGTGTTACTCTGGCCTGTGCGCCAGCAGGACAAAGTGGTGAGGTAAGGCACATTTGGGGGCATCCATTGGCGAGAAGGTGAGCTGGTGAGTGAGGTGAGGTGAGGTACAAACAGGTAGGTACCTGCTAAGGTACTGAGGAATGGAAGGTACCACCCAGTCCGGGTGCGTAAGGTAAGGCCAAAGCAGGCCCCGGAGGTGGCTTCGTCATTGCCTGGGTCTCCGGCCGGAATGGCACTTGCACCTGCTGCACCCTGGAGCTTACCTTAGTCCAACCACCACACGAACCTCACCACCGATCAACTTCTTTCCCCCACGCCCGACCGACCTCTTGTCCGCACTTCGACTACATCCACAGTCTGCTCTGGGACTTGGGTTCTATCACTGAGCTATTGGGATAATTATTTCTCAACTCCGATACTCACAATCACCCGATCGCTGATTGTCGCATGCTACCGACTGCCTCCACACCCCTCCCCCGCTACACCCGGCTCAGCTGCGCATCCCCCCGGCGCGCAGCCCAACTGAGACCGCAAACCCTTTCGCACGATTGAATCGCAGCCTATAGCTTTGTTTGCTGTTGTATTCAGTCACGGCTAGCATCATGTGGAACGACGAGGATAACAACCCCTATGGGACCAGCTTCGACAGGCGGGACAGCCTGACTTCCTCCTCGGCCAACCCGGCCTCTCCTACCTCTCGTGAGTGTATGTTGCGACCATCCCCCCAATACAACACCAGGCGACCAGCAAGATTCTCAAGATGATGGAAACCATAGATCTGGATGATTCCTCAGACAGTGCTGATGCCGACTGGGAGACTCTAGACCAGCGATTCGACATCCCTCAGACCCCGTCCACTACAAGCGACGAGGCTCCCCAGAATCGCGGCCTCGGCCACGACGAGAGCGAGGTTGAGAGCAGTGACAATGAGCCTATTGCTAGAAACAGGGGCGATATCGTCCCTCGCCCAAAGCCCGGTGGTTATGAGAGTCGCGTCGAGCAGATTCTCTACGAGAACCCGTCGATGCCCATCCTCATTACGGATGCAGGAAAGAGCGCAGAGAGTGGTGGTAGATACATCGTCTACACCATTCGCACCGGGGTAAGTTGGTTGAATAGTTGAGACTAGGGCTGTGTGCTGACAAGAAACTAGAACCTCGAGGTCCGCCGAAGATACTCTGAGTTCGCTTCGCTGCGAGAAGCGCTTACCCGTCTGCATCCCACCCTGATCATACCACCGATTCCCGAGAAGCACACAATGGCCGACTACGCCGCGAACCCCACGAACGCGAAGCAAGACCAGCAGATTATTGACTTGCGCAAGCGCATGCTCGCTGTGTTCCTGAACCGCTGCCGGCGCATGGAGGAAGTCCGAGTCGATGGGGTGTGGTGGAGATTTCTTGACCCCAATGCTAGCTGGGTGAGTCCATGTCATCGTTGCGATAGTATTATTGTGGCTGATTTTTCTTCAGAGTGAGGTCCTGCACTCTCACCCCGTAGCCTCAGTCCCCAAGTCCGTCCTGAAGGCGCCCCCTCTGGATCCAGCGAATCCTACACCCGCCCACGCCTTCCTTCCCGTACCAGCCAGCTCCGCGAAGTTGAGAACAACGGGAGGCCCAGGTGTCGATCCCAACGCCATTGCCGGAACAGGCTCTCACGTATTTGGCCGATTCCCCCCCGACAGCCATAACCTTAGCGAACAGGAACTCGACCCGTACTTCATCACGTATGAAGCCTCGATTAAGGAACTGGAGCAACTTTTGTCTGGATCTATGGAAAAGGTCAACCGTCGGACACTCAGCCATCTGTCAGCCCTTGCTGCCGATCTCTGCGAACTGGGTTCCAAGTTCAACGCTTTTGCGCTGTCGGAACAGGCACCGTCATTGGGACCTGCGCTTGAGAGGGTGGGACAGGCCGCCGACTCGTCATACATTGCAACGGAAGAACTGTCCGGATCGCTCGGTGCAAGCTTTGCGGAGCCTATGCGCGAGAATGCGCAATTTGCGGGCGTTGTCCGCAGCGTACTCAAGTACAGAGTTCTGAAGCGCGTGCAGCAAGAGCAGACGAGCGATGAACTCAACAAGAAGATTGCGCTGCTTGATCAGCTGGAGCGGAGCGAGCAAGAAGCCAAACGCATTGAGCAGTACTTGAGTAGCAGTCAACAGATTACACCCCCGCCGAAGCGATCAACGAGCCTTAGAGAGGCGGGAACGTCGAACCATCAACGTGAGGGTAGCGCCGAAGATACGGCATCCATCGACTCCGACTTTCCTCCCACCCACGGTGAGCCGGCGCCATCAGCAAGCCAGGGAGTACCGCAGAGAAGCAACTCAACGCCAGGTCATAAGAAGGCCGCGAGCAGCAACTCTATCACGAACAAGATTTTCGGACCGATTCGCCATGCGATTCAAGGAGTGGCAGACGTCGACCCTGAGAGGACGCGCCGCGACATGATCGGAAAGACCAGAGAGAGCATCGAGCAGCTGGAGCAGGCCAAGGTGGTATCTGAACATGACGTCAAGGAGGCCAGCGCCAGCATCTTGAAGGATCTCAAAAGATTCCAGGGAGAGAAGGAAGAGGATTTGCGCCGTTACATGGTAAGTTTCGCGGTATCTATGACATTACCGTAGCTAACACGACAACAGCTGGCGTATGCCAAGAGCCAGATCGAATGGGCAAAGAAGAACAAGGAGACTTGGGAAGATGCCAAGGCCGAGGTCAGCAAGATTGACGAGAGCTAGGTGTGAGTTGAGGTAACGGGACATGAATTTGCGCGTGGATATCAGAACAGCTCCAGCTCAAAGTTGCCGGCTTGTTCCTATAATTTGACGAGGCGTTGATTCTGCAGGCTTGGTTGAGGTTCGCTCGTCAGTTGGCGAAACGACGAAGGTCATTTGGCGTTTACGAGGGCTTGCCGTTCGTAAAAGCCATTGAATAGTCCATGAAATAATCAGATTAGTTCAGCTTGCTGTTCCAGACTGAGTTCATTGTGACTGTGACACCTTGAAAGAAAGTAGTTGAGCCATTTCGTAACACTAAAAATGGCTTGGCGCAGCTTGGCATATCCTTTCTCATAACGTTCCTAGCAGGTTCGGGCTGTCGCGCGAGTTCCAGGCTGCAGCACACCTTGGGTACCCTACCTAGGTACGGCACAGCTCCCTATGGTATCGCTTATCGATAAGAAATCGATAAAGCTCCGAGACTTTTCGTCGTCGCGAGGCTAGGCCGGACCTGTTTGTACTTTCTCCTTTGCGCAACACAACACACAAGATGGACGGCGTACAGCCGCCCCCAGAGGGCCCAATCGCCTCAATCGCAGAACCCGGCATCAAGGCCGAGGGGCAGCTGCTCTTCGACCTGCGTCGGGAGGTTGCAAATCTCCTGCATCGCAATCAAACGAGCTTCCCCGGCGCACAGCCCGTCAGCTTCGCGCGCAAGCACCTGGACGAGCTCCGGAACAAAGAGTGAGTGCACCTTTCCCCGCCCGCGCCCATTCCTCTCGCCTGCCGTAGAGGTGTCGGACAACACCAAGAAGATGAGAAAACGCGCGAGTATATTAGCTGACTCAACGCGATGAATAGTTACTACGTCTGCGAGAAGTCGGACGGCATCCGGTACCTGCTGTACCTGACCGAGGACGAGAGCGGCCGCGAGATTCACTACCTCATCGACCGCAAAAACGACTATTGGTTCATCAAGAACAGCAGCTTCCACTTCCCGCGCAAAGATGACGTGGGCAAGCACCACACGCGCACCATCGTCGACGGCGAGCTGGTCATGGACGACGTTGGCGGCGGTCAAAAGGCTCCTCGCTTCCTCGTCTTCGATTGCCTGGTTCTCGACGGCCAGGACCTCATGTCGCGCACCCTCGATAAGCGCCTGGCGTACTTCCAGGAAAACATCTACAAGCCTTATCGAGATTTGTTCAAACAGTACCCGGAGGAGAAGGACTTCCAGCCGTTTCTCGTAGAGATGAAGTCGATGCAGCTCTCGTACGGCATAGAAATGATGTTTCGCGAAATCCTGCCGAAGCTGCGACACGGCAACGACGGCCTCATCTTCACGTGCGTATCATCCGACTACAAGCACGGCACCGACCCGCACATCCTCAAGTGGAAGCCGCCTGAAGAGAACACGGTGGATTGCCGGCTACGCTTGAACTTTCCGACGGTCCACCCGGACGAGAACTTTGACGACTTCACGGAGCCGTACATTGACTACGAAAGTGTGCCGCGTTCAGAGCTGTGGAGCTTCATGGGCGACGGACAGTATCAGTTCTTCTCGGAGGTGCTCATCACTGAGGATGAGTGGGAGACGCTCAAGTCCCTTGGGGATCCGCTGAACAACCGCATCGTCGAGTGCCACAAGGACGACAAGAACCGGTGGAGGATCATCCGCTTCCGCGATGATAAGGCCGAGGCCAATCACATTTCCACGATCAAGAGCGTGATGGAGAGTATCGAGGACCGCGTCACGGAAAAGGACCTGGCTGAGGCGGCCAAGGGAATTAAAGACTGCTGGAAAACGAGGAAGAGATGAGCGGCGCTAATCGCGTGTTCAAAAACATCCCGTGGCGGCTCCGGGAGTGAGGTTGTCCGGAGGCTTCGCGAGGTCTGGAGCGGCAGGGTT